ATCTTGCTACTTTGGAGTTTATGTAAATTCCTTGTAGGAGAGTATCAGCTGCTTTGTGTTACATTTCTTTCTATATATATTGTGTTTATGAAATGTGTGCATAATACTGCTTTAATGTTATTTCATTATTATTATTGACATAAATTATTCTGGTTGAGTATGCCACAACCTATTACTAAATTATTCATTTGTCAGATTAAGGTTTGGTTGTTTTCAATAATATTATGAATATTCTTACATATATATTTTGACTAGATGTATATTTGCATTTGTGATGGACACCCACTTCTTGGGGCTAGAGTTGTATAACTAAACTTTCAGTAGATATTTCCAACCAGGTTTCCAAATTGGTTGAACTACCTTACAATACAAATAGCAATATTTGCATGTACAGCTTTGTCTATATTCTTTCCAAAACCTGTTCTCATTGGCAACCACTGCGTGCGTGCGTGCGTGTACAATGCAGGCATGTTTGGAGGTCATACATTTGTGGAGGTCAGAAGACAACTTTGGGATAGCCTTCCACCTTATTTCAGGCAAGGTCCCATAGCTACTTTTCTACTGCACACACCAGCCTAGCTGGTTCCAGAACTTCTAGGGATTCCCTTGTGTCTTCCTCCCATGTCCCTAAAGGAGAGCTTGGAAATCCAGATGTTCCTGACATGAGTGTCTAGTCTTGATGTGAGTTCTGGGGACTTGAACCAGAGTCTTCATGCCTGTGCAGACAGGTGTTTTTACACCCTCACAACACTTCCCAAGCTCAAAAGCACTTTCAGCCCTTTTTAAAAAATGTTCACCAACTTGTTCATTACTAAGAAATGTTTTTAACTATTATCAGCTGAATTGTTAGCACCCTCACAGTTTATATATTTAAGCCCTGGTACCTACTACCATGAAAGCTGGTGCTATTAAATAGGACTTTTTCTTTTCTTTTTGATAGGTGATCTTATAACATAGTCCTGGAAGACCTGAAACTCATTATGTAGACCAAACTGGCCTTGAACTCAGAGATCCTCCAGCTTCTGCCTCCCAAGTATTGGGTTTAAAGTTGTGTGCCACCACACCCAGCACAGATAAAGTTTCTAATGAGATTATTATATTACAATGTGTGGTTAGGCTAGACCCTTAATAACAAGGGATCTGGTGTCTTTAAGAAAAGTGTAGAGAGGGAGAAAGGAAGAAAGGGGAAGAAGAGAGAGAGAAAAAGATGGCAATCATGTGAAGTTACCAGAGGAAGAGATAATCTGTGAGAAAAAGACAGAAACCTCACAATAAAATGATCCCTGCCAATCCTTTCATCTTAAGCTTCCAGATTTTAGAAGGGTGAATATGAGTTCTCAATTTTGTGTTGTCAGCCTTAGTTCACTAAGTATTTCAGTATTTAGGTGATCTGTAATGATTGCTAATTATGTACTCTAAGAAGCACACTTAAAATGATCTCAAGTTCCCAATCTTTACTTATAACTCTGTCACTACATTGAACACTTATTTAAGTAAACCAAAAGCTTCTATTAGTGTTTTATTAATAATAGCTTAATTTTTAGTGAACTTAATGAATGGCATTTTTATTCTTTTTTTAACATCTGTTTCATTCGAGAGCTTGCCAACGTCCCACACTTGTTAAAATGGTCAAGGTTAGTGGATTTCAATTTCTGCAAATGTTACCTTAAGAAACGGGCCATAATCAAGTCAGCTTGGAGCTTGCAGCTCAGAGCTCAGCGAATCTCACAGAAGAGGAGGAGGAAATATTGTAGGAATCAGATGAGATGAAGGGGAACATGGCCCAATGTATCAACTAAATAGGGTTCATATGGACTCTCAGAGGCTAAAGCAGCAAGCACAGGGCCTGCACAGGTCTGCTCCAGGTCCTCTGTATATGTTATGGCTGTTGTATTAATGTTCTGTGGGACTCCTAACAGTAGTGGGGTGACTCTGACTCTTTCATGTGCTCTTGGGACCCTTGCTCTCTTACTGGATTGTTTTGTCCAGCTGGGTCAGATATGAGGGCTTTTGCCTTGACTGGTTGTATCCTGTTTTGTCCTGTTTGGTTGTTGTCTCTTGGAGACCTGTTCTTTTCTGAAGGGAAGTTGGAGGGTAGATCTGGGGAAGAGGGGAAGTGGGGGAAGCTGGGAAGAGTGGAGGGAGGGGAAACTGTGTTCAGGATATGTTATATGAAAGCAGAATCTATTTCCAATAAAAGAAAAGAGGCCATAGGAAAGCAAGTATTTGTTAGCAATAGAGTGGAAGGAAAATCATAAAGGAAACAAGATAATGTTGTAAATCTGAGTAATGTCTATGTAGAAGTTTATCACATTTCATTTTTAATGTTAGACATTTTTCATGACAAAAGTGTTTAATATCTCCTTGGGAAAATAGGTTTTTGGAAGTAAAATCAACTTGGCTCTATTCAAAAGAAAAAGAGGGCAAGCAAAGATGCATTCTTCTGTAAGGATCTAATACAATGTACTATAAAATGTAATTTCTATAAAAAGGGAGTCACTTGACATGCTCAACTGATGTCTTTGGGGGGGTGGGTAATATCAAGATATTACCACGTAAGTACCAATGCTTTTAAAGGAACTTTCTTTGTCTAGATTGAGTTCAACACACACTGTAATCCTGATAAAAATTTGTTTTGACATCAAGGATATTTTATAAGCCATATTTGAAGACACCTGGTGCTACTGTAGTGACAAAGAGTGAATAAAGGACTTTGGGAGATACGTATGCTGTTAAACTGGAATCAGAACTCAAAATCCCCCATTGTTAGTCAGATCTCCCACTGCTCTGACAAAATGTGAAAGAAAACAAGGAAGGGATGATTTATTTTTGACTCAGGGTTTCAGTCCATCATGGAAGGAAGAACGCCCATCAAGGTGGCCAGAACCTGGGGTAGAGACTGCTTACCTGGTGGTCTTTCTCCTTTTTCTTCTCCGATTCTGACTTCAGACTATGGGATTTCCCACTGCAGGAGATTAGCTTTATCAATCTTGTTGGTACTCCTCAGGCCAATCCAACCAACAACCATGACTAACCAACCATGACACCATTTGGAAGGAATGTTTAGAAATGATCCAGAAATGACCAAACCCATGCACAGTATTTATGACTTTTGGTTTTACTCCATTAGTTCCATTTGCTATTCACATGCTCAAGAAATGTCCATACTCAGAAATGGTTTTTGCAAATAAACCCCGGAGGATTGTGATATTGGTATTCTCATTCTCTTCAGTCCATTGGATGCACATATGTGATTTCTAGCTATAAGATGACCTCGACCATCAGATTTTAATTTTATTTATTTTACTTAGAAATATTTTAAATATATTCTAATTTCCCATCTCCTATTGACATGGCTCTTATGTGAAGTTAAGTATTCTCAGCCTTAATAGAATTTATCTTTAAGTAAATACAAACTCCATCGAAAATCAACTATATTTAGCATATATTATGCTCTTGTATGTGTACTCACTCACATTTTAAATGATATTTAAAGACACTTTCCAATTTATCTGATCAGTAAAGAACAAGACAATAACAGAATATAACCGTGATATTCAGTCACTGAATTCCATGGTATATTTAACTGTGACCCCTTTCACATTGTCTGCATCTGTTTGTTGTTTTTTGAGACACAGTCTTTCTTGCCTCAAACTTGCTATCCTTCTGTCTCAGCCCCCCAAGTTCTGGGATTACAGTTGTGCACCACTGTGCATCCTTGAATGTCATCTTCTGCATCATGCCATTTCTAATAACTTTGGTCTTTGGTCAACCAACATGAGGACATTTTGTCCAATGAAAGATTATAGTAAAACACTTGGATTTCTCAAAACTATGACTAATTCTATTCACTTAGAAATAAAATTAAATCTTAAAGTTTTTATGACATATACCAGTTGCTCCTAATTCCTATTTTAAATTATTGAGTTTTGTTTAGATATTGCAATCATATGTACCTTTTGACCACAGTTTTCCCCTCAATAGCCTTATGATTACCATTACTGTTCTCATGTGGCCTTGTAGCAAAGTAAGTCTGTTGTTCATGCCATTTATGAGTCATGTATTTTAGAGAACTTAATGTCTAATTCAACATTTATGTTTCTGACCAACTTTCACATTCTAATAATTTGTTGATGTGTTTACTGAGACAAACATTGTACCTCTTAAACTCATGAATTTATAGCTCTCATCAGAAATCAGTTGCACTGCTGAAGAATCACAGTGGATTGTGAGCAGTTTGAATGGCCAGAAGAGTGATTCTTAGATGTTCCCACACATGAAAGACTGAAGTATGGCCTCCCCTTAGATCAGCAGACAGTTTGACTCAAGATCTAGAGTGAGCTTGAAAACCAACTTGAAAACAAAACACAAGTATGCACACATAATCAAGACCCCTAAGAAACCCTTTACACATTCAGTTTGAGAAACATTGACTCAACTTAAAAATCTTTATAATGCCCAAATTTGGATAAAAGTCTTTATAATGATCAGTCTTTATTATGCTCAATGTTTATCTGAAAATAGCTCATGAAGTTATTGATTTGAAGGCATGGTGGCGGTGTAGGCTAAGAGAATGAGTAAGAAGTCTTTAGAGTCCTGGGACTCCCTGATTTGCCTAGAAACTGAAGCAAAATACGGAACCATTTGCTGCTGAAGCTAAGACAAAAGCATTCGGGAGAAGAGGAGTCACCGGGAACTTGTAAGATCAAATCGAAAAATTCCACAGCAAAGACTTTCCGGAAGGCCAAAGTTACCTCGGTGATTGAGAGCTGAAAGGGATTTTTTCCCTCCTGTACCAGACCTAACATTAGAGATGCCACAAACAAAGGAGCCGGGCAAGGCAAGGCAAGTGATGATTTTAATTACACTGATGCTTTCGTGGGAGGTGGGTTCAGAATCAATTCAGTATGCCATGCTGGAGGAGACAGAAAGTGGCACCTTTGTGGCCAATCTGACTAAGGACTTGGGACTAAGGGTGGGAGAATTGGCTGCGCGGGGCGCTAGAGTGGTTTTCAAGGGGAACAGACAGTATTTGCAACTTGACCCACAGACTCAGGACTTGGTGCTAAATGAAAAGCTGGACCGGGAAGAGCTGTGCGGCTCCACGGAGCCTTGTATGCTGCCTTTCCAGGTGTTACTAAAAAATCCTTTGCAGTTTTATCAGGCTGCACTGAGAGTTATAGATATAAATGACCACGCCCCAGAGTTTCCTGCCAGAGAGGTGCTCCTTAAAATATCAGAAATAACTGCACCGGGAAAGATATTCCCTTTGAAAATGGCGCAGGACTTAGACACCGGCAGCCACAGCATTCAGAGCTACACGGTCAGCGACAACAGTCACTTCCATGTACTCACTCGCAGCCGCAGCGATGGCAAGAAGTTCCCCGAGATAGTGCTGGACAAGGCATTGGACCGTGAGGAGCAGGCTCAGCTCAGACTAACGCTTACTGCAGTGGATGGCGGGTCTCCGCCCAGGTCAGGGACCACTGAGATTCAAATACTTGTCTTAGATATAAATGACAACACTCCGGAATTTGCTCAGGAGCTCTATGAGGTCCAAGTCCCAGAGAACAACCCCATTGGCACACTGCTTATTACCCTCTCAGCAAGAGATTTCGATACAGGATCCTTTGGAGAGGTTTCTTATGCACTGTTGCAAGATGATGATGTTAACGAGCCTTTTGTAATAAACACAAAGACAGGGGAGATTCGACTGAGAAGCACGTTGGATTTTGAAGCATTTCAGTCCTACCATGTGGGTGTTGAGGCCATAGATGGTGGTGGGCTAACAGGAAAATGCTCTTTAGTTGTGCAAGTATTAGATGTGAATGACAATGCTCCAGAAGTGATCCTATCCTCACTCAACAGCCCCATCCCTGAAAATTTGCCAAGCATCGTAGTGGCAGTATTCAGCATTTCAGATGCAGACTCAGAAAATAACCAGGAGGTTACGTGTTCCATAGATGACAATCTTCCATTTCTCCTAAGACCATC